TGCAGTAACAGAGAGAACAGCCAGGACATCTACAAAAATATGTGATCAACAGAATAAAAGAAAATGATACAAGTTTGGAATGAGAGTAAATGAAGACAAAATGAAACTATTCCTTTATCTTCACAAGAAAGCTTAATGGGAATGGGACTATTCCTACTGGCACAAACTACCTTGGATACATTTTTTTTAATGAAACCCAGATGACTACAAAACCACTAATAGACGCATTTAAGCAAACAGGGTGGAACTATGAACATAAGCGACTTTACTGCAATACAGGGAGCTTTGTAAAGTTGACGTCAGAACGAGGCAAAGTAGCTCACAGTTAAACACAAAGAAAGAATCAGAGGGATTTACGTAGGCAGACGTCCAGGAACAGGACAAAGTAACCTTCTGTACAGGTGAAATGATGAGAAGGCAGCACAGAGACACACAAATGAAGAACGAGAGGGGAAAAAGGGGAGAAGGAAAGCATGAAAGCAAAAAGATCAGTGGTGTGACAATTATGGAAAATTCTGAAACGGCAAATCAAACTAAATACCAACTCAACCTCAAATATCAGGAAAAATGTGCACGTACCAACTCATTGAGATGAAGCTATATTTGAAGATTTGAAAATCTGATGTCTTAAAATCCTGTATTTCAGGCTGGAAATCATCGCACCTTTACAGGTAACACTGCCTGGCCATCACAGACAGTTCTAGAGAAGCACATACAAAGCTATCCCATGTCTAAACTATTGTTTGTATTGAGAAGAGCCGTCAATGCATTGAAAAGCTGCGGCTGGGACACACCACACATGTGATCTCCAGCCAATCAGATCTCTCCTGTGCTCATGGTATGTTGAAAAGACTGGAAACTCCAGCACACTCAAATCTCACTCCAGATTGTCCTTTTCAGAGATGTTTATCCACCCTTTGAGATAAATAAGAGGAGGACTGCACTCCTAATGTCACAGTGGATCATGTTATGTAACTCCAGTCATATCTAGGGAGCAGGGACCGGTTTCACCAGCTGTGCACAACTTAGCCTAGTTTTGACGCAAAGGAGCACTAAGTTAGAACTAATGCATTTACACAAGCCTCCGACCAGGAGTAATGTTTGGAATAAATCAACAGATTGATTGAACGGCATCAATAAGCTCAAGTTATACTTGACAAACTTCAAACTTTTACACATATATGATAATGTTAATAAATTATTTTGATAGTGACTCTTCAACATGAACCCAATCTAGGCATTGAAAACAATTATATCATTAAAATACTTGAGCAGAAGTTGTATTAATGCTGTGAATTTCAATCTATCCTTGATTCTAACAACATTTATGTTTCCATTGAAATACAATGAAATATTCCATAATCATGAATAACTTACTGTAAGTATTTTTATATGCGAGTAAAATTCTGATGAGATGAAGGCAAAAATATCTAGGGTAAAATGAGAATGGGATGTTTTTAAGACTGCTATTGGATTATTGAGGGATCATACAGATCATATTATGCGATTATGCATTACTTTACACAGAGTTTACAACCTACTAGCTACATTCTACCTTAAAGGGATAATTCACCCAAAAAATAAAAATTAGCCCATTATTTACTCACCCTCAAGCCATCCTAGGCGTATATGATATCCTTCTTTCAAATGAATCCAATCGGAGTTATATAAAAAATTGACTTTGATCTTCCAAGCGGTTTAATGGCAGTCAGCAGGTGTTGCAGTTCATCAGTCCAAAAGAAGTTAAATAAAGCGCATCCATCCATAATAAAAAGTGTCTCACATGGCTGAACAAAGGCCTCCTGCGCCAACAGTTGTACACGGAAGCAGGGCTGATGACGTATGTGTTCAGCGTTGCGCATGCGCCGGTGAGTCTCATGAAAGCAACGTTTGTTAACAGGAGCCAAGGAAGCAAAGTTTCCTTACATTAGCAAAGGAAAACCAATCTCCTCTTGGCTTATATCGAAATCCTCTGACATTCTTCTTTACAAATCCTCATTTCGTACTTCTAACTCGTGACCGTTGTTTTGTTTTGATCTCTCCCCTGCACTTCAGCATTCGTCACTTCTGAGCGGCGCATGCGCAACGCCGACCTCATACGTCATCCGCCCGGAACTGCTTCTGTGTACAACAGTGAGCACAAGCTAGATTAAACTGATTATTACGTTTTAAATAAGGTTATTTTTCTTACAAAAACACATCGATTCGCTACAGGAGGACTTTGTTCACCTCCCCGGAGCCGTGTGAGGCACTTTTTATTATGGATGGATGCACTTTATTTCAATTCTTTTGGACTGATGAACTGCAACACCCGATGACTGCCATTAAACAGCTTGGAAAATCAAAGTCAATTTTTAATATAACTCCAACTGGATTCGTCTGAAAGAAGAAAGTCATATACACCTAGGACTAACCCTTTAAGAACAACTCGAAATGCAGCCGAATAAAGTACAGAATTAGTTACAACCTGGCTAGTAATAGTAGTCACTAAGCCTCCAGTGTGGACTTTACGTTCCATTTTAAGCAAGAACTTATGAACGGATGGTACAACTCGACCCAAAATATCAGAGACTTGGGAACTTATTTGACTTCTAAGCAACCAATAAAAACCCACACAGCAACACACTGACACCAACTCCCAAACATAGCGTCATGGTGGTCAAACACCATTCACATTATCTTCAGAACATGTAAACTTTTAGCTTTAATTGCCAATCAGTGGTAAACGTCACTGAACAAACAATCCTCCATTATCTTAAACTTAAACTTTCCATTTAAAGCATAAAAATTGAAGGTGTTTTTAGATCTGATCCAGACTAAGAAACAAGATCAGTGGATGAGCAAACAGCAGCCATTCTAAAAATCAAACTGAAATGTGATTGGCCCGCAGATGTTGCCCTGAGGGAATCTTACACTGAAACACACGGACCCCGTGGTCATTTACAGAGAGCCTGAGCAACCAGCTCCTCTGAGAAGCTGATAACATTGTTTAAACACAGAGCACAAAAGCAGCGCTGCCTGTTAGCTGTGACTTATTAACCCTGTGAAACCAATTACGCAAAGATCACACAGCTACAGAACAGACCAGTCACACAGAAACCAGCTCCTGAGTGATCTGGTGAAGACTGATTCAATCACAACACTGCATCACAGAAACACAGATGTTGAGAGTTTAATGCATATGTATATCGTACCATTCAAAAGTTTGAGTTGGTAGCATGCTTTAACGTTTCTGAAAGAAGTCTCTTTTGCTCACCAAGCCTGCATTTATTTGATAAAAAATACAGTAAAAACAGTAATTTCATGAAATGCGTTTACAATCTAAATAACTGTTTTCTATTTTAATACATTTAAAAAAATAATTTATTCCTGTGATGCAAAGATCATTCTAATATGCTGATTTGCTGCTCAAGAAACATTTCTGATGATCAGTGTTGAAAACAGTTGTGCTGCTTAATATTTTTGTGGATGCATTGTTTTCAGGATTCTTTGATGAATACAAAGTTCAAAAGAACATAATTTATTTCTTTACTTTCACTTTTTATCATATGAATGCATCCTTGCTGAATAAAAGCATTATTTAAAACAAAATTACCCTAAAACTTACCCTTACCCTAAACTTTTGAAATTTTGGTAGTGTAAATGGTCTACAGAGAATCTGAAAATAATGTGTTGCAGTAAATCCCTACACCTACACTGTAAAAAAATTCTGTAAAATTTACGGTAAATAAAACGGCAGCTGTGGTTGCCAGAATTTTACCGTAAAAAATACGGTAGCAACGTTTTAAGTTTTACGGTTTTTACTTAAATTTACAGTTAAATATCGTCATTTAATTAACTGATATAATGTTAATATACCAACCTATTGAAGTACTGAAATCTGTTTTGTACCTTTGTAATAATACACTGATAACCACCAAATGCAGGTGGTGATGAGAAAGTCACATGATGAACCAAAGCCCATCACAAGCAGCTTTTAAATAATAACATATATAGAAGGTGCACAGTGTCATTCACACAAACACCAAACACCATCATGGTAACACACATGAAACTGAAATAATGCAATAAGCATTCATCTAACAATATTAGGTGTAACACTCAACCCTAATATACAAAACTGATAAGAAAAAAATAAGAAGAAACATAGTTATTTCAGCAAAAAAACATTAAATTTGAAATGTAATGCAGGGAATTCTGGGAATGTCAATTTACGGTTATTGACTGTAAATTATACGGTCTTTTTCACTTCCAAAAACGGTATACTACCATAAAATTAATGTCCCATACATGTAATGTCCAATACAGTTTTTCACTGTATATAATAGGGGAATTTACCATTAACCATTTAACAGGTTTTTACTGTAGCATTTTTACAGTATTTTACCGTTAAATTCACAATCATTTTTAACAGTGTAGTTATATGCAAAAGTAACAGCGATGCTTGCACAACTTACAATATTAAACTGCACATATTAATACTGGATTTTAAGCAAATATCCATTGGTACTGAAAAAAAGTCTCAGAATGCTTAGTATGAGCAATCACAATGGTTGCGTTCATCTTAGCAAACACCACTCACGGGGTCGTACCTGTATGAGCAGCTGCTGCTGTTCTGAGGTGGCCGTTTCAGAGAGGTCAGAGGTCAAACAGTGGCGCTGAAGGACAGAGTTGGACAACGAGAGGAAGGAGCTCTCCTCCTCACCATCACTCATCAAGATATCCAGGGAACTCGCTGAAATGACAGAAAAGAGAATATTGTTAATTATTAATATTATTAAATATAAAATTTACTTAAAAATACTTAAAGTTGAAGCACTGAAAAAAAAACTAAAACTGAAGTAAAATTACAATACAAATTAAACAAAGGCCTAGTAACATTAAAAAAAATAGTGAAAATGACAAAAGCACAATGATTACTAAAATGTTACTAAACTAAAAATAAAAGCTAATTCAAAATATTAATAAATGCTACAATGGTAAATAATGGATACTAAGGGTGCTTTCACACCTGGCCCGTTTCGGAACCTGGCGCATGTGAATCGGATCCGCGCCAAAACAATCGGTCCGAGATCGTCTGAACGAGGTGGTCTCGGCTAGATTGAAAACGAACTCTAGAGCGGTTCGGTTGTAGTGAGAAAGCAATCCGATCTAACGGACCAACGAACCAGACTATATCACAATGTATAATGGGTAATTACGTAAGTTCCGTGAAAAGCATTAGCTTTGTTGTTTTGCTAATACTTCAAAATGAACCTGTGAATGTCTGTGGGTCAGCACGTCTTCGCCATTCAAAATCAAGTGCAATTTTTCATTTTATAATGCCGTCTTATTGCTCTTCTTCCTAGTATGTGCATTTTAAAAATGTTTTCCCGATGAATCCTGGACTCCTGCTCAAAGTGATAAATTAATATAACGACATCTACAAAAAGCCCGCAAAGCTGTTGTCGTTCCACCCTGACGGATGACAGCTGTGACAGCTAAGTGGAATCCTGGAAAATAAACCGTGAAACTTTGACCAATGAGAGAACAGTTTACTTGCGCGTGACTTGTATTAACAAATTTGGTCCGTTTAGAAACATTGCCGTGTGAAAGCGAACCGCACCAAGAATAAAAAGCAACATTGTAATAATTTTAATCCCTGTTTCGGAACAAAGCAATCGATCTACAGGTGTGAAAGCACCCTAAAATAATGCTGGTCCAGATGACACAATGGCATTGTGGGAAATATACGTAGAGCAACTCAAAAAAATGATTTGTTCACCTGTTGAAGATGGCTAATTCTCATGAACAAACCAAGGAGATCTAGAGCAAATGTCAAGATCTCAGTCTGTTTCTCACATGAAACCATTGTATGATTTCAGATGATTTGTAATGGCTTTCTTTTTCGAAAAGGTCTGAACTGATTTGTGTGCATTCTGTCCGCTCTTTCACGGAACCATCTAAAGCAGCAATAATGCAATAATGCCTCATTCAACGTTACTGCATAAAAACAGTTAATAATTTATCCGTTTGTGCTACTTAATAGAAATAAAGACCTTCAAGTTTGGAACAACATGAAGGTGCATAAATTACATCAGAATATTAAGATTTGGGTAAAGTAATCCTTACTAGCTGAATATGCAGAGAACACATCAATCCAGTAAAGGTCCTGCAGGCTTAATAGAAACCATTAACTAATGATAAGATAACAGCTTGCTGCAAGTGATGCATTAACCTGGATTTTAATATGGCCCTGAACCTTATCAAAAAACTACAATTACTGTTTTGTTTGTCAAACAGCTCTCTGTCACACTCACACGGGAGACGTGCAGCCTCTCGCCGGTGCGGTTTACGATGACACAGCAGTAGAGCCGCTTTCGTAGAAGAGCATCAGACTGAACGCAAATCTGTCACCGCATCACTGCAAAAACCAGCCACCAACACTCAGCCTCGACATTTCCCTGATTTTCCTCTTTGTCTGCTTCCCGTTTTAGTCCTTTTTGGTCATTGTTTCTCACACAATCGCTGTGGCTGTTGTTATAATGTCCCGTGCAGCACACAGCGCATTATTTAGCACACATACAAATTTTCAAGCACTGCTCTCATCTCTAAAGAGATTTACCCTTCTGTACCTGGACAGAACGCATGGTCTTCTCCGTTCGGTCTGAAACAGTCTGACTTTGTTTCTCCTTGTCAGTGGGTAAGAACACATCGCTTGCTCTCTCACCGATGACTGAGCCAGTGAGGGCTCACACACACACACACACACACACACACCTCCCACATCCACTCAAACATTCAAACTATCCTCAGAAAAATGTTGCTACACCGGTTTTGAAGTCCACTCGTGTGACAGTGCTTACCATCCAATGAGAGGTCTTTGTTCCAGAGCTCCTGCATGCAGGGGGTGTGGGTGACGTCCCAGGTCTTTCGTGTGCCATACATGACCACGGGGCCGAGCAGAACACACCGCTGGACCGGCTGTAAACACAGACCACATCCAATAAATACCCAACTAATGAACATCTGAGACCTGACAATTTTACATGGAGATTATGCAGAATAAAATTCATCATTAACCCTGTAAAGTCTGACATCATAATAATAACAGTCAATTTTTTTTTAATATAAGAGTTCATTGAACCTTTTAAACCTATTGAAACTGAACCCTACTGAACCTAAAAATATATATTTTTAAGTTTGTATATGGGTCTAAGATGAAAAAGGGTTGAAGCATAAAAACAATACTGCTTTAAATAGTTGTTTTTCAAAAAAAATAAAATAAAAATGTAAAAGTTTTTGGTATAATGTAATTGTATTTTTGATTGAGCAAAAAAAAAAAAAAAATCATACATTTTCCCCTGATTTACAGAAGACACCCACTAAAATGTCATTCAGTGTAACAATCTTGTCAGGCATATTTACAACAAAAATCAATGTATGACATTAAAAAACTAGTTCAATCATGACAACTCTCGGAAGATTTAACATGGTGATGGATATGACCATGTTAATGTATTTGGTCTTGGCGGAATAGATCTGCTATGCTGCTGCTGCTGTTGGTTAATGCTGTATTTATAGATTATTGCTGCTGCTGCTGCAAGCAAATACAGGAACTTGCTACTGCCAATGCATACGGAGATGCAGTGCTGTGAGTATTTAAGACATATTGCTACTGCACAAATAACATAAAATAATCCGTAGCAGATCTATACAGGTGGAGCTGGGGAAGGTGAAGGGTTTCAGAGAAACTCTGAAAGAGAGCTGCAGGAATCTCTAGTGAACGCTAGTCAGCCATATAAATGCAAGGCAGTAAGCTCATTGGCTGCATATGCAGCATGAACCAATCAGCTTGTAACAAGTCGTTTAACTTCTAGTGTTGTCAAAAGACCCGGTACTTCAGTACCAAGTCGGTACTAAAAAAATGCAAACGTTATGGTACCAGGTTTTTTTTATGTACCGGTGGTACCGAGTACCCGGTAAACCCGGTTCTTGATGCGCCATCCGAACGGTGCGCAGTTGCGCTCTCTTCATAAAAGAAAAAACATGGTGACCTCAAAATGAGGAAACACATCAAACTAACAAAACACTTTAAAGACAGACACCCAGATCAAATGAAAGAGTTCAAGCAGGTAAATTTCATTTCATCCCATACATTGATTTATTTGTGGCGGCCCGCCACAATATCAAAACTCACCGCCACAAATATATTTTCCAAAAGGCTTTGACATCGTTGAATAAACATGAGCACTGCACGTGTCAAAGTCGAAACCCGGTGCGGGTGTTTTTATATCACTGTATTTCTGAAGGAAACCAACTGTCTTCAGAAAATTATGGATGTCATTTTCATTTCATCTTGCCTGTAATGCCTGAGCAGCGTTTGTGAGCGCAGCACTTATTTCATTACAGCCGTTACTGGGGAAACCTCTATGTCTCCCACTCCAACAGCGCCTCCTGCTGGCAGAGAATTAATTTGCATATATATGCCACCACAAATAGAGTGCAAGTCTGTGGGAAACACTGCTTCTGTTATGAATATTATTCAATATTTTAATTTGAATGTCGGATTGAAATGAACATCGCCGTAATTAGAGTAGTTAATCGTTAGCATAAACGCGGCTAACGCTAATATAATGAGCATTAGAATGAAGTTTCTTTAACTATTTAATGCTCCTATAACTTTTATTATGGTAAAAAAACAGGGAGGACATGATGATATTTATTATTTTTACACACCAGAGTCTTTTAAATGAATTGTGAATCTAAAATATGCATGTTAGAGAACGTACAAAGGGTTAACATTGTTTGTGTCATATAAATCAGAAAAGCAGTTCTGGGCTTTTAAAATTGTTTTTTTTAGCTAACTTAGTTGTTATTCTTGGTTGAATAACTTTAGAAGGTTTTACAAGCCCTTTAAAATTAAATATGTACACAGTTTGGATTAAATTATAGTAAATTTTTTTAATTAGCATGTTTTTGTGTTTTGCTTTGGTACCGAAATTGGTACAGAGAACCGTGGATTTTCACTGGTATTGCTACCGAATACTGAAATTTTGGTACCGTGACAACACTATCTCTGAATATCACCAGTTACATTAACAACCCGTCAGCCTGCGCCATCTAGAGTTTCATGACTGAACTATATATATTCATTTTCACCCCAAATACCAATTAGTTATTTTACATTTTTTAAATTTGCCACTATCCTAAGTTTTGCCCATTTGTCAGTAAGAATTTTTTACTAATTTAAAACCCAATCAAATTGACACACACACACACACACACACAGCTGCTGTACCATCAGTCCAGCTTTCCTACAGTCCTGATGAGGCGCAGGGCGGTCCCGGTCCAGCCAGCTCTTGTTAATCAGTGATCCCACCCAACCCAACATCTTTATCTGCTCCGCTCAAAACAAGCAAATAACCTGCTCTTAACCGCTTTACATCTTCAAAATGCAGCTCATGTTGATCACATTGTTAGAAAGAAAAAAGTGTGCATTTACTATCAGGTTAGTGAAGACGTCCTGTGCCTCTACAGAGACAAGGCAGCTTGCATCAAGTGCATTTCACCCATAATCCTTTAAGCTGTCAGCAGATGACCTCTTTTCACCGTGATGGCAGGACAGACATTTTTGGACTGATTCAATTCACCTGCACATGACATCTTCACCTGATTTTGGAAAACACTTCAAGCTGTTCAAACAGTGGTCAGTCTGTAAGATTTATTGGTGTTTTTAAAAAGTAGTTTAAAAAAAGTAAAATTTAATTATTGAGACACATTGCGGGTTTCAAAGAGTAAAATGTAAAATGATCATGAACCTGTGTGAACATTCAAACACAAGTATAAATGTGTTTCCTATCCACCCAAAGATAGTCCTTATTCCACCTAAGAAGAAACCTATCAGGCATAGAAAGCACATGTACTCTTACTAGTCTCTCAAAAGTGTATTCTGGAATAAAGAAACGTTTATCCCTTTAATCATGGGGTTTTCATTAACTGACCACCAGAGGCAGCAGTAAATACCAACAACAGACCTCAGACAGATTTCATTTAAGTCACCGTAAACTACAAAATATTACGGCATCTCAATTACCCCAGAGCCATTCTCTCTCCTTCGCTCTCTTCCCCTAAGATCAATGTACACTCTGTCGTCTGTAAAACAACACTCTGGCCCTTCTGATGTTTCAGCAGAGCTCACGGTGGTCTCCTGGGAGGATCTCGCACAACAGACTGCTCTAATGAAACATCTGATCAGCTTCTGTCCCATGATGAAACCACACACCACGGATAATCATTTCATCCAGTCCTATAGACGGATATTTCATGAAATGCTGTTGAAAACTGCTGTTTAGTTGAGGAAGAGCCAGGTTTTTCCATCACACAGACATGGTTTTCATCTTCAGCAGCATACTTCCACACAGAGGAGTGTGTGAATCTCATTAGCCTACTTCTGCCTCTCTCTACCTCCCCTGTGTCTCATCTTCTATTTTAGTTCTGCTACCCACATCCACCAACAGACAAAGAAAAAAAAAGCCAAATCATGTTCAAACCAACCACTAGTCTAGAGAGACTGCACTTAAAACAGCATTCAAAACACTACATACATCTGAATGCACCTGCGTGAGACGCGTGAAACGCCTCAAAACAATATACTGAAATTAAGTATAAGATTTATACTACATGACCTCACAGAAAAGTGATTTTTGACTTGATAAAGTCCTCAAGCAGCATCCTCCAAAAGGTGCATATTGGATCAAACATGAATAAATGGAGAGAACTGACACTTCTACAATTATTTTCTACCAGTGTACACAATGTAAAAGCACACTTTAAACACATTATTATAAAAGTTAATTAGTTATGAAGAACAAAAATAAATAAGGGAAAAATTAATAGGCTAATCTAGGCTTAATGCAAGATACAGCACTTCAGTCTTCAAGACTCAACACATTAAGAACTTAAAGCCAACTGCAACAGAACAGCACAAATATGATGTCATATTCATATTTTATACGTACTACAAAACGTCTAAAATGGTTCATAATCAGTTTTTGGAAATTAATAAAAGACTTTAATTACTAAATTACAATTAAAATCTGAGAAGTGTGTTGATGCTTTATAGGTTGGTGTGTATATACCAAGGTAAAATTGTAGAATATAATAGAATAGACTAAAATAAAACACCTGAAGAAAATAGATTTTATAGATCCAAACAGACTTGGATTCATACACTGTAAAAAATAAATCTGTTAAAATAGTTCACAATGTATTGTAATAATATAAAACAGTTTTCCGTATTGATTTTACCTTTATTTTATTAATTTTGCACATCATTGTGCTGTATTTTAGGGTTAATGGAAAAGTCTGTAAAATTAATGGACAACGTCCTGGCAGAAAATTACCAGTAGATTTTACCAGTATGTTTAAATGCAAAAACAAAATTATTTTAGGAATAGGTTTAAGATTTTAGTCAGTCTGTACAGAGTTAAAAAAACTAAATTAGCGTTCTACAGAAAGAATGCAAGTATATAGTACGACTTCATGTTGAGAGCAATGCAAATGAGTGTATCTGGTGTTCAAATTGAATCAAGTGAATTCATCATTGAAATATAAAACAGAAGCTCTTATTAAAGTATCCTGTTAGTTACTGCTGACCATTTCTTTACTCTAGCCTACAGCATCAATCATTCATACTGTGTCCATCAATGCATGGATGCGCGCACACACACACACACACACACACACACACACACACACACACACACACACACACACACACACACACACACACACACGTCTGCCACCAGTGAGCAGTTTCATGAATCCTGTGGTCCAACAGTCTGTCGCTGTCTGTCTGATTTCCCTGTATCGTTCATTCATCTGCAGTCACCCCCGGAGTGTGTCTCTCCATCTGTCGGTCTGTCTGTCTCCCATTTCTGCATTGCTTTGTCTAAATCACTGTACAAACACAAGGAAGCCAGGGATGCAAGCATATGCAACTTCTCTGCTATAAACAGGCCCATGAAACATTCATCAGTTCCAGTTATTACAGCTTCCCCATCCCCCCATCATGAAAGAGTAAAATCACCCTCTCCTTCCCTCCCTCTGCTCCTGTAAATCCCTCCATAGCGCTCCGGCACAAACATCTGTCTGCACTGGACGCCGAGGCATTAAACAGGCATCACCAGACCTGTGCATGCATGTCATGTCTAATGAAAGAGAATAATGTGTTACATATCAGACAGGAGCAAAATCTGAATCTTAGACCAGACGGGTGAAATATGAACAGAAAAACAGCACACGTGGTTTTAGTGAAAGGTTTCAGCATCCTCTCCATCCCGTGAACTCACCTCTGTCCCTGCGGTCTCCTGCTGTTGCTCATGCCTTCATTATTTCATAGCATTTATCTGGAGCACGAGCACACACACACACACACACACACACACACACACACACGTAGACACACCACCACTGATGTCTGCGCCGCTCAGCCACCAGCTAAACTGTCCCTCTCACGCTCTCTTTGTCACACACACTCGCGTGTGCATGCAGCTCCTCTCCTCACACACACTCTCATTCTGACACAAACGCTGTTCTTCTTGTCTCTGTTCCTTGGTAACGGTGGAATCTGAGCCGCATCACGCCCCTCCCCCGCGCTCCTTCCCCATCTATCCCACAATTCCCTCCCTCTCCGTCGCTCGCCTGTCCACAGAAATAAATATTTCAGCATGCAAATGTAGCGTGGTGCTGCTTCTCACTCCACCAACATTTGTGTGCATGTATGTGTGTAGCATCCACCTACTATTTGGCACACTGATATTTTCTACATGTATTAATTTGGTAAATGTGTTTATGCATTTATGTTGCATTTAAGGTATAAAAAATTGAACTCACAGCCTTGGTGTTGCTAGTTTCAACACCAACTGATCTACAGGAATACATGCTTTTTTGTGATAAACTGGAAACACATTGGTTAGGGTGATTAATTTCTTTATTTCTGTCAATATCAATCAAAACAAGAGACAAAGGAAAAATATTTCATCTATAATAAAAATATATTTTTTATTTTTAGAAATAATTTATTAAATATATTATTAATTCATAAATTTTATTTCGTTTTTGGGGAGTTGCACTACACAACATTGTAAAATCTGAACTAACCTTGCCTTACTAAAAATTCAAATGTAATATTTAAGTCAAAATGTAATAATTTCAGAGATGTATTTACCCTGACAAACAATTAGGATTGTCAGCAGTGGTTCCCACTATATGACAATTTTTATTTTTTGTTTTCTGCACGTTGGTCTAACCACACAGCTTATGTTTTCTAAGAAATAGTGAAAAAAAAGTCCAATCCATTAAAATTTTTCTTTTAATGATTATCATTTATAATGGGTCTTTTTTCTTCATTATGCTATCGGTTATCAGTACAAAGTGATTAGTATCACCCTGACATTTGAGGTTAAGCCCCACCCCACCCAAAAAAAAACCTAATAAAAAACCCCCCCACCAAAATGAATTTTAATTCAGAACTAAACAAAACAAATATATATATTAATCATAGAAGTGGTGTATTTGAATGACTGGCTGCACGAATGAAACTAAACAATGTAGCTGAATAAATAAAGACAAAAACAAAATCTGTTTATGAATTTTTTTGGTAAAATCTGAGGGCATTTCTCTGAAAAATCATGTTCTATTCATTGAATTCAACACCAAAAAAAAAAAAGAAAAAAGAAAAAAAAGACAGCTTTTTTAAGCCAGTCACAGCGGGTGAAACTGCTCACTCACTTGTGTGGTGCATTCATCGATGGGCTTCTCCGCAACTAAACTGACAACATTCTTCTGCTCCCATGAGAGCAAACTCTCTCAGGCACTGCTAGGTAACTGGGTTACAAACGCTAACATGAACTAGTACACAGAGAATATGCATGCTTTAGGAACGTGAATAACTTGCTGATAAACATTATAGATTGAAAGCTGTTGCTCTTCAACGGAGTACAAATCATTTTAAGTTCAAGTCAGCATTACATAACCATTCCCAATAGATTCTAAAACCCATCCATTTAAAGCATACTAAAACTGCTGTTAGCAGTCTGTAGGAAAATTGTGCATTAAAAGTTTACTAAGTAAGGTCCTAAAAGTTCAGTGCCAGCTTTGATAACAAATCTGTGTCAGCTCAGGATTTTTCCATGTATTGACACAAGCCTGTTAATGATAATCCAATACTGCCATTCAAGTAAACGTAACGCCCAGCAACTCACCGCAACAACCCAAAGCACTGACAGATACACATGGTTAAGCAACTAGAACACTCTTTTTACTTTTAATAACTACACTGCAAGCACAGTATACTTTAATAGTGGCCAGAAACATCGTAAAAAGGGAAATATAGTTTTCAAAACGATTCGCGTTTACACATCTACGAAAACGGCCAAAAACGCTGTATTACATAGGCCCTATGCCAGGCCAGTAGTTGGCGCCGTCACCAGGTTAATAAACTGTACCTGTAGGGAAGTCATGATTATATGATGTATATGATGCGTCTCCGCTGTTGGTTGTAATATTGGTAAAGTAAATCCACGCTTTGCTGATGAAGCGTTAGCAAACTCTTGAGTAGCAGCAACAGTACCATTTACTCTGCCATTGTTGTGTATGTTTGTTCGCGCTTGCCTTTAAAATTGACCCGTACTGTGCATGTCTACATACCTAACATGTACTACGCATGCACATGACGTCACCATTTCAAAAGATTCCCATATCCTAACATATTGGGTGTTTACACGGAAAAACGAACAGTTAAAATGCATAAAAAGTTTCCCGTTTTTGGATAAAAACGTTGTTGTGTAAACGGCCCCTTAGTTTTGTCACACCACTCGCTCGCACATATAGGCCCCCATGTTACAAATTAACAGCGAACATTCATACATGCACTCTTAAAAATAAAGTTTCTTTATTGCCATATATGGTTCCATTAAGAACCTTCTATTGCACTGCAGTAAAACCCCCTTCTGGAACCTTTGTTTTTTTAAGAGCGTGACATCAATAAAAAGAAAAACCAAACCAAAACCAAAAACATTGCAACCAATGAAGAATTTTTCCAAGAATTGATGTTACAGTGGAATAAGCGCTCTGTCAAACTAATTCCAGCAAAGCAGAGATCCAACAAGTGAAAGCAAACAAGATTAAGGAAAGCGAACAATGGTAGATTGAGGGCATTCCTTATGAATTAAATTACGATTAAAGAGACAGGGAGCTCTCTGATTAACCCACTGCTTATGTAACCACTCAGGATTTTATCCGCTAAAACAGTCCATCAGACAGCAGAGAACATTAGAAATGGGACAGCAGAGGGACAGGATGATACACATCGTTCCAGGTACATGAAAATCCCCATGCACTGTAGACTCTATAATAGATATCTATGCTGATATCTAAAAGCAGACGATTGCACAAAACAGCTAAGAACAATTGGATGACAGACGGAGTATCTTGAAACATATCCAACTGACTAAAATAGATCTACTAGACATTCAGCAGTGACAGAAATTCACACTCCAGCAGTCCAAAGAACAGGAAACTGAGCCTAAACCTTGAACCAGCAAAGCGTCTGATGTTTCGTTAAATCAATAATACAACACTCATAAATGAGAAGACATCAATTATCATTTTGGATTAAATGGAGGTTTCCCAGCAGCAGACAGACAACTTTTACATCAACATAACGTGGTGAAACATTTTCAGCTCCTGAAAGGATCAATCAAAAATGACAATCTTAAATAAACTCCATTTGATGGTGATCAGCATGTATCAGCAAAGTAAAAAGAATTAAAGATCAACCTCAAAGTGTGGTGATATTTCCAGCACCTAACATCTACGTTCCTCCCCTCATTCCCTTCATCTCCATTTTCAATCTCACCTGTGCTCTCTTCTTTCTCCTGTGCACATTATCCAGGTGAACGGATCTTCTTTTACTTGCTCTACTGGGTCCATGCTGGCATCTTTCAAAGTCATGGAACCTTGAGGACTCTAGTGGTCCAGAACCTTCATGCAAGGTGTGCTTGTTCCTCTTCTTGCGTCCCAGTTTGGCGACATCTGGTCTGTGCTGCTCAGGACCCTCGATAGCCTTGGGTTCAGAGGGTTCCAAGACCCTGGGTCTCCTAAACAGGTTGTGGAGAGACAGCAACACCAGTGTGCACAGAACATACATGGTGGCGCTGACTAATAGAATCACAAATGGGTCCACCAACACCTTCAGTCAGAATCAGAGATGGAGTGATCCCGTTTCAGTATCAGTGCAAGCAGAGAACACTATCTTCTAGTTGAAGTTACAGTTGTGATATCAGCTCTACTGCGCTGCGCTTGCGTAGTGGTGAGATTCTGTCAAACTGAAGTCCAAAAAGAAGGGAATAACCAGTTTGGAATAAAGTCCACCAGCAATAGTTGCCTTCTTGCTTCTTTTCCCACCAGTTCTTCGCTGTATTCACACATGCAAAGACTGTTCAGAACATGCTATTCAGACACCTCAGAGCTCGACTTCTTCTAATGCTCATTTAGGCTGATAATCTGTCCGTGATCTGATCAGCAAATGAGATGGCTGCTCTCATCTCCCATTCTGAGGGAGCGCCGACTAATGCACACCTGCTTTTAAACCCCACAAAGCCATTTTAACCTACCTGGACACATCTATGAAGACACACCCTGATAAACAAACTCATGTAAGCCAATGCAAACACATACAAACTTGTGGAATAATAGATGACTAGTTTGCTAATCAGGAATAACCTCCACTGGCACGATCTGATATCCAACAAATCTTTGCCTCCTAATGGTTTTTTTGTAATTTTTACAGTCGCTGGATTGCAGGGATAAAACTCTCCCATGTCAGCCCACTCCTTCTGTCATAACGCTTGGCTTTGATAGTCTTTATCCTAGTTTGTGGTCCATACGACTGGTCAAACTCCAAACGGTCGCAGTCCGGCCGATCCTGCACTGCGGGTGAACTCCCACACCTCTGCTGAAAGAGAAAATGCGTTTCACTCTTTCTCCCTCCCTTTTCTCATGGGGTCCATCTGTCACTGCAGTAGAGAGAGCTAAGCGTCTCTTAGCGATGATGTAACAACTTTTTGCATCTATGCAAAAAGAAGAAAATCAACTTTAAAATGTATGGATAAAGAAGCCTGTCTGTGATTGGTTGTTGCCATGGTGAGATGACCTTGTTAAACTGCATTTAATAAATCCGTCCATCATGCTTCTGCATGAAATAGGCGACTAAGGGAATGGCTCACAGTGAGAACTGACAGTGTCGATCTTGAAGGCTTGAATATGATTTGTGGTCATAACAGATCACTGAAGCCTTATTCTGGAACTTCAGGATAAAAAAAATTGGTGTCATGTTCTCTGCATGTGTGTAGACAAGCAAAATACCATCTTCTGGTTCATTACCCTTTTTAGCAGCCTGTCTGTCACATAATTCAGATTAAGAACAAACAATAGTGCCTTTTATAACCAATAAAGCAGTTACTGCTCAACAGACTAAATGGCATATTACACATTTTTATTAAAAATGCTCAGTATAATGTGGGGAAAAAACTTCTACGTTCAACGTAAGCTGCTACGTTGGTTCAGGTGTGTTTAAATTAGGGTTGGAGCTAGTGCTAGGCGGTCTGACCAAAAATCTGTATCGCTTTTTTTTTTTTTAGGATTCTGATGCTTTCACCGTTTATCACAGTTTTTCCATGACTGTGCCTTTATACGAATCAGAATGCATGAAACAGTTGCAAAACCACTGCATTTCAATCACGACCAAAACAATCATGCTACATGTAGCATGAACGGTTTTTGATGTAAAATAGATTGTAAAATTTCAACATTTGAAGCATAAACTGAATGGTCTGACCGTAGCTTTGTGAAATTATGCTACTTAAAACATATGTGCATGAAACAAAAACAGCAGACGGGCTGAATGAGGTGTAAATTCACTCTCTAACAGCAGGTGGCGCTTATGGAACAGCAGCGATACTGTTTCCTTGGTTACTGCTGTAAACAAATTACATAAATATGCAATATATATGGAGGTAAGATGAAAAGAAAATACCATCTAAACTTTTCTGAAGACAGTCAGTTCCCCTCAGAGATATATTCACATAACCCCCCAATATGTCGTGCATGGTGCAGTGAGTTTGCTCGGCCTGCTACAGTATTTTCTCCTCTTTGTGTTCGTCTCCTGCGTCTCTGGCTCATTTCTAAAAGTTCTCCAACCATTAGTCAGAAGTGTATGCAGTTAACAGGATCCCCTTTCAATTCACGACGCTGTCCATGTTGCTTAGTCACTTGCTCTGGTATGCCGTTTAAAAAAAAAAAAAAAAAAAAAAGTATACCGTGTGTGTAATTCAAACCGGTTTACCGTTTGAACCGGTATATCACCTAGTTGGAGCAAAACTCTGCAGGACAGTGATCCTCCAGGAACAGGTTTGCACACCCCTGTTATAGAACAATAAGTAAAAACGGTCTGTGATCAAACCACTTAAAGGAACACTCCACTATTTTTGAAAATAGGCTGATATTACGCAGTGCCTGAAAATAGGCTTATTGGAAGTTACCTAGCTGGGGACTATTTTCAGGCGCTGCGTAATATCATTGCACCTGCTGTACCCATGGTACAGCAGCAAAGTTCCTTGATTATTATGCCGGAATGAGAGTATAGTTCCTCACCATATCGACCTAGAAAGTTGCAACTTTTAATTTTCCGTCGGTCTTAGTACACAATGTAACTACAGAAGAGTCAAGTTTTAAATAGGAAAAATATAGAAACTCTTTGGTCATTTTTGAGCGAGATGCTAATGGTCTAATCAGATTCAATGATCTATGCTAAGCTACAGCTAAAAGTGCTACCGCCAGACCCGGAGATCGGCTGAATGGATTCGAAAACAGTAAAACTCAACTGTTTAACTCTAGGGGAGTTGGAAACTGAGCCTATTTTCAAAAATAGTGGAGTGTTCCTTTAAAGGTACAATCAGATCAGGGTTATAAAAAGATAGGATTGCAGGGGAAAAATAAAATCATAAAAAAAAACAAGAATATGGCACCATTAGATGCTTACAAAGATAAAAGTTGGCTTGTCTAGATCACAAAGGTCACCAAAAGGCCACCTTACAAGATATGCAGGACACCAAACAACCACAATACAATTCAAATGGAAACGATATGAGATGTCCTCTGTAACACTACACTGTACATTAGAACAGCATTCCATTAAAAATGATACAGGAATTGGTTCACAATCTATATATTAACAAATCTATGCAAAATGAAATTGCCAAATGACTCAAAGTTTGTATTTATTCCAAAAAAGAATTTCAGATTTTCACTCAGCTATTATATAGCTACAACATGTAAATAGTTTGAAATATCAGGCATGCTGTGATTCAATTTTCCAAGATTCCAAAAGCAAACTACTTTTAATGGATGTCAGAAGTCACTGGTGTTATGCATGTTGTTATGTGATATGTGAGCTGATAAAAAAAGACAATAAATATGAAATGACTATATGATGGGTGAATAAAACAGTGTTGCCAAGACTCCAGTGTTGCTATGAATAAAATAATACAACTGCAATAAGGTGGATATCATATTACGGCAGTATAAACAAATGGCCTCAATGTCTTGACAAGTCTTAACAATGATGTTCAAAACATATATGAATTTCTTTCCTCCTTGAAACAAAGTAAAAATCTGGAAGAATTGTACAAAGTTATTTTCCATGAAAGTACAATGAACAGGCCACTTCTAATAATTCTGTGGCGTTTCATATCCTTTTTGATGCTTGAAGGCTTCAGTCTCTCCATTTATTGTAATTGCATGGAAAAGAAAGACCAGTGCACGCTTCAGAATTTCTCCTTTTGTGTTCCACTTCCAAGACAATTCTCCTTAAGTTCACACCGGTGTCCTAGCAGAGTAACCACAAATGCAAATCATCACATTAACAATGAACTAACTTTAAACAACTAGAAAGCCAAACACTTGGCTTACTTTTAAACAATATATCTAGACCACGTTTCACTTAAAGATGTGCTTGTGCTTTCTTTCTTAAAAAAAAAAAAAATTCTAATTGCTTTATTAATTTGTTATCTATAATGTAATGAAATCCTAAATGTAATGCATCTTAAGTGTTCAAAAGAGCTTTGGTGCAACTGAAGTTCTTAGCACAAGACAAATATTTGCACAAAACTTTCAGTGGAATCTCACTGCTATCTTGATCTATCTATGATTTATAAAGTGTATTTGCGCAGGTGGCATGCAAACACCCAGGTATGCGGCTTCTAGTTAAGAGGCTAAACCGAACACAACCACATCAGTTAATAAAATTCTACATGCAATGCATTTTAAGTGTCCAAACGCGCTTTGGTGCAACTGAAGTTCTTAGCACAAGACAAATATTTGCACAAAACTTTCAGTGGAATCTCACGGTTATCTTGATCTAGCTATGATTTATAAAGTGTATTTGCGCAGGTGGCATGCAAACACCCAGGTATGCGGCTTCTAGTTAAGAGGCTAAACCGAACATGACCACCTCAGTTAAGCAGCTTAGAGCAGAAATATTTCAGCAAAGTGAGCAGTGGGATTAGGAAAAGCTGACAGCTGACACCACTCTCATTCAAGCCCTTCTCAATTAATGCAACGAGACAGTGAGTTCAGAAAGGGAAAGTCAGCAGAGACTTGTACATCCTTCCTGTGTGTCTCCAGGCAGCGATGAATTTAGTTTTGCTGCCACACAATGCCTTCAGTGTGTGCTATTTCTGAAGCAAATTACAGAGTAACAGAAAAGGGCAGGAAACCTCAAAATTACAGGGTTAATGTCCACTAATGTAGTATGACGCAATACCTCAGCTTTCATCTTTTTGTTGGAGAAACAGTGTGTGCATACATTTTCAAGGAACTGGTTTCTTCGGAGAATACTTGTCTGGGCAGCACGGGTCAGAAAAGTGAAGATCACTGTAAACTTGAAAAGTTAAACCAGTGGAAACACAGGTTTTACCCAGCCTACTGCCAATCAGCAGTGACCTCATGAGTGAGTCAGAGTCTCCAGCGAGGCGTACAGGCGTATATGTACATGCATGTGGTGAGACGGCCATGTTCTGGGTGTCTGACATCTGTTGCATGCGCTGTGCTTTGCAGATCACCCAGCAAAGTTCACTTCAGCCCGGAGGATACCAAAATAAAGGGAAATAAATCAAAACCTCTTAACCAGAAGAACAGGCATTTTATGCGGTCAAAACCCAAATGTGTCCTAATTTTAGCTGTTAAACTAATTAATCAGATTTTTTTCACTTAGACAAACTCACAGAAATCTTTCTTGGGCATATTGAAAATGCAGGCCCATAAACACAGAGAGATCACGGAGCACAGTGCCATCTGTTGGTCTGAGCCGTTTCTTGGATGTCTGATTCATTGCAATTATGTAACATGAAGTCTTCCTTGTGTTGCCAGTATACAGAAGGGTGTGATAAACATCTCATTTCAGCTGTTTATGCAGTTCACCTAATGTATAATTAGGGAAAAAGAAAATTATGGTAATATGCAACACAGGATACCCCTTAATTACAAGACTAAACAAAATGAAAGTGATCCCGTGAGTGGTCACTTATTATCTTCTTAAAAAATGGTAATTTTAAAGGCAGAGTCATGCAATAATAATTGGTAGTGCAGTGACAGCAGTGCCTCAAAGTATCTAATTCCTAATCTAAAAGTAACCAATTTTAAGTGACATCATTTGTATATTATTATACACACCATTTACTGTATGAGCTCATATTAGAAGCTGCATAGGATATTTGTGCATTAAAAAATGTACGTGTCACACCACGAGTGAACTGCAAAAGCGCTATAAATCTAATCAAACATTTTGATAAATTAATTTAGAACATTCTCGTGATCTGTGATTTGTTGATGCTAGAGGTGTAACGATACACAAAAATGAGTGTTCAGAACATACCTCAGTTTGAGGT